TAATTTCCGTATATGTGTTCTTATTTTTTCGCTGGGTATCTAATCGCTATCTAAAAAAGAATAAATTTAAGACCAAGAAAAATTACAAAAAAATGTAGAACCAACAATTTTCACCTTGGTCACTATAAAGTGTGTAATTCGTCTCAGACGTACGTGTGACATTACTATCAATAGATCTGCATTCAATCATAATTAATGAAGATCTATAAACAGACTTAGAATTCGATTAACCGAATCACGAATGTGTGAATGGTTCAATGATAGAAAAAATGTACTTAATTTAACGATTGAGTTATAATAGTCTGTTGTGTAATTTAAAATACAAGTGGACAAATTCTTTTTCGTACCTTAACATGTAGGTAAGATAAATATTTCAAAAACTATTATATAAAAATAAGGAGATGTGGTATGATTGCAAATGAGACAACTATCCACCAATGGTCAAATGCAGTTGATGTAAGCAGTTATAGGCAACCGTACGGCCTTCAACAATGAGAAAAATCCATACCGTATGGTCGACCAGAAAAGGCCCCGACATGAAAAATATGAAACAATTCAATTGTGAAAACTATTGGCCTAATTTATAACAAACCAATTTACGAAAAACAAATATGACAGACATGCACTAACGACAACCACTGAACTACAGGCTCCTGACTTTGGACAGGCACATAAAGAATGTGGCGGCGTTAAACATGTTTGTGAGCGCTCAACCCTCCCGTAACCTAGGCAGTGGTGTAACAGTACAACATAAGAACAAATTATAAAAATCAGTTGGAAAAAGGCTTAACTCATCAGATGGATCCAAATAGAAAGTACAGATCTGAGAGTACTCGCAGTTACTGACAGCTAGTTCAAAACCAATTACAACTAATGAAAAAAATCATGTATCTAAGACTAAAATATCAATCAGTACACATCCAACTTGCAATGGATTTAGTGTAAAGACGTCATTAACAGTCAGAGAAAAACATGACCTTGTGCAATGCTAAACTATAAGTATCGACAGATTGTAGTACCGAGAAAGTACATATGTGTAATATTTAGTATGGTTTAAATATACTGATAACAAAATCAATATTTATGCCAATAAAAACAATATTCAAAGATTTAGTTTGTTTTCCGCGAGCTTGTATATTTTCTTGTCGCATTTAGTTCTGTAAATGATTTTCATTATCATATGTGTTGTCGTATAATTATTGTTAATAGACTTTTTTACAGTCAGGATTTACTTCGTCAATATTTTCTCCCCATTACCCCACCGATTTTTTTTCAATTTTGAAAATTAGCCATTGTAGGTATGACGCGTTGTCAATTTAGTTCTTAAAAACCGATCAATTTATCCTATTTGCATCATAACAATCCTTACATTGTATTTGTATTTTAAAAGAAGAATTTATCTACTATCTATATAGCATCATATAATGTACTTTTATGGCTTTTGTCAATATAAAACTATTGTCTTATTTGTTGTCAGGGATCACTATCAAAAGTTAAAATAACACCCCCAAAAAATCTACAATTCAAACATTTCGTAGAAGGGCAGACTAAACAAATTCAGAGGTAGAAAACAAATTACCCAAGATAACACATACCACAAATCAGATTTTTTGAAGTTATGCTTAAAAAAGAACAACAAAAGTATTTTTTTTTTTTTCAAGGAAGAGCTTTTATTAGAAAGAATGTAAAAGGGGTGTTATCCGATATTTTTTTCCATTTTATGAATACGATAATAATGTGCCTAGATTTAATTGAAAAATGAGTGAGCGAAAAGTTGAAAAATATAAGTCAGAAATACACCAAGTTTTAACATTTGTAGTAGCACGAAGCTACTTTTTTCTTGTTTTTCCAACACACCTACATGTACTTTGTTGTTATGACTCAGTAGAAAGATATTTTGCTTGACCCGTATATATAAGTTTTTGGTACTGTCAATTTTAAATATTTTTATATCAACATGTAGCCTAAGTATATTAAAATATAGAATCTAAAGCGAGATGATGTATCAAATATTTTTTGCATTCTACGTTTTCAAGACAAAAAAGTAAACTGAAACACGCCTGAACATAAAAAGGTGTACAAAACTTATATTTTTCGATACGACTATTGACCATTTTTGGGATTTCTTCCCCCCCCCCCCCCCCCAAAAAAGAAAAAAAAAAGCTGTTTCAAGGGAAACAGACGCAAAGTAAGAAAATATTTAATTTGTTTTATCTTTCTGTGGATTTGTTTTCGTTGGAATTCATGCTTATTCATATTTTAAAAAGATTCACATTAATTTTCACCTAACATTATCTTCTGTTTTATGAACATTTGTCTTTGATTCAAAAGTTTACAAACACCTCGAAGCTCGATGTATGTGCGAGTTTTCCATTGATAAACCCGTATGTGCGAGTTTTCCATTGAAGATTAACTGGTTTTTGGAATGCTTTTTTAATCCTGTCTTTACATTTCTGTATTTCCTAAAAACAACGTTGCAAAGATGCTATTGTAACGCAGTTGTTTGTCCGTCCGTAACACACTTACGGACTCTGTAGACCTTGTGTTTTTCAAACCGATATTTATATGTACCACATTTAATGCACATTTTTTAATAATGGGTGGGCTAGATGCCTATAGCTATTGCCAATAAGGGTCAAAGGACAAGGTCACGCCGCTATTTTTTGTTGCGAGGGAATACTTCGCTTCATGGTTCCTTTGTTAATTTTGAGGGGTTTCCCATATATTTTTTAACAATATATTGTAGAGTTTCAAGTGTGATTAACGATGAATTTTGTATTTGATTAACGTTTGTATACAGTTCTATTCATTGATATAAATTTGAATAGACAACAAACTGCAGCTTAGCCCATTTATCGAAGATGATTCTCTAGTATTTGAGCAAGGTCTTAGCGATGAAAATAGTGCACACAGGGTCAGTTAGACTGACTGCACGTCCTCGATTTGGAACAATCTGAATGAGAAACTTAAATGTTTAGGAATGAAATGACAATTACATGTTATTGCTTCTCCGTAAGTGGCAACAGTTGTGTTAATTTTTATGTTTTATTTGTTTATTTCTGTATCAATATAAAGCTGCATGCAAAGAAAAAAATCGTTTATCTTATCAAATGAACAAAAAACGTGAACCCCTTCCCCTTTTCCCCTCCCCCTTCCCCTCCCCCTTCCTTCACCTTTCTTTCAAATTTGTATAGGCTCAGTAAAACAAAAGAAATAATAGACAGAATATTTGTATCCACATTTAAATATATAGTATTCTTTGTTGTCATATCAAATGAAGTAGTGATGATATACTGTCTAGTGACATTTAAATTAATCAATTTTTACATACTCGACAACCTTCGTATTATATGGTTTGATGATCAGGAAAATTAATTCACATTTACAACGTCTATAGATATTAATACAACATTTAAAAAAGTAATTCGTTTACTACATCAAACAGAAACAGTGAATTGCAGTTAAATATCACACGACGATATTTAGCTACATGTACATAGTTTATTTATTCATTTGTTTTTTAAAGTTGTGAATACGAGACATTATAACATTCCTTCATACTTCCGGGATCATACAGTCAACATGTAAGTGAATAATATTTCTTAATTAACCCTCAGATAACTGTCGAAATAGATACAAGTGGTGATATCACTATTAAGTTTCTATACCTATGAAACACACACACACATATATACACAATTACATTGTGTCTTCTGAAACCTTATCAATTGCAAGCAATCGGGACACCTCATTTAATCAAATAAAATGTAATTATATAAAAATAAGGAGATGTGGTATGATTACCATGAGATAACTATTTACATGAGACCAAAGGACGCAGATTTGAGAAAAAAAGCTCACCGTAGGTCCCAACAAGGATTATAAACAATACCGCAAGGCTCCAGCATGACAAAATATGAGACAATCCAACGAGTAAAACTAATTAAAATAAGTTTAAGGACATCGCTTATGACAGTAATAAAATGTTAGTTAAAAGTAAGTCGCGTTCTTCTGTTTCCTACTCTTTGTTGCTCTGGAAAACTTGAACACTTGATCTGAAACTAGCTGACGCCTCCCTTATTCACATCTGAACGCATTCGCGTACTTCTCCGTGATGTCCATCAAATTATCAATTGGATTTTTTTATACGTTACATGTATTTCATAGATACTTGTAATGGCGGACATAATAAAAAATATCCTCTGACCCTCTTAAAGATCATTTACTTTTGAGAAAAATTCCCTAGAAAAAATGAAAAATCTCAAGACAAGTAATTATGATACAAATACGTCACCACAAACAAGTTAAAAAACCAAACACAAAAAGTTAATAATTGCGCACCAAGAAATCTGCCAAAACCGGAAAAAAACCTGAGCCTGTCTCTTGGAATTGCAAAAGGGTTCATAATTATATGTCACTTTTTAAAACATTGCATTCCAAGCCACAACCGAACCACGATGACCATGAAACGGTACAAGAAGAAAGAAAGAAAACATACTAGTCTATAACAAAAGATCTGTCTACAATACGAACATGACGAAGAAAAACAACTTATAAGTTTACAGTAAAAGACGATACATTTTTTTAAAAAAAAAAAAAAACATGAGCACGTTCACTTTTAATGTCAATTTCCCATTTTTTGTTTTTAGGTCAGCATTAAAAAGTAAGTGAACATTTGAAACTGGCTACATTTGTTTTAAATAAAACACACCCTTCTTTGACTTGGGTAAATAACTGTTTGATTTCGGGCAATTATACAACTGTTCCTTATTTATTCAATGTCATGCTATAATAATTACTTCTGTTCATACAAAAGATCATATTTCAACATACTTTTCTCAATACATGCAACTCTTTCTTTGTAAAATTTACACACGTTTTACTTCCGTTCACCCTTGTCTAATGTATGTCTTTTTTACGCAGGGGTAATAATACCATAAATGGTTTATATTATGCATAAATAAATACAATATATTATATTGACGGATAAAATTAAAATGGATAACACTACAAACTTCCTTGTTACTGAGAGCTCTTCAGTGAAAACGAATCTGTGAGAAAATGAAGGATCAACAGCTTCTACTTTCGGTATTTATTGCTTTATTGTCGTGTGACGAAGGTGAGAAAATCAATATCATAATAAGATATACAAGTAAATTGTTACAAATGTAGCATTTATGAAAATAAATTCGGTATATATGATTGTTATCTATACAATCTGTTGTTTTACACTGGTGTCATTCGGTATATCGAGAAAAATGATCGTGAAAGAATAACTAACGGTGGTCAAGCATTGCGATCGGATCGTGAAAGATCTGGTATCGGATCATGAATGCATTTACGGTCATTCTACTTCAAAATCTGTGAAAAATCTGCTGTATTTTTAAAAGGTGGAACAAATCAGAAAAAAAGAAATATGTCTGTCAAAATGATTCAACTAACCTAATGATAAATACTGTGCACTACGTTAAAGAAAAAATGCAGTACGTTTTAGGAAAACACAAAAGACGACACATAAACCTATGAGAATATTTAAGAAGAAATCTCGTTTTGTACCTATAATGGTCACATTCAAATATATCATGATATATTTGAAACTCAATTTTTAGTGTGTCAGATAGTCCTGTGTTCTGCTCTTTGGTCCGGTTATTGTCTCTTTGACACATTCTCCGTTTCCATTCTCAATTCTATCTTTGTATTTTTAATGCTTAATGCATCCAAAAATCAGTGAAACGAGAGAGGGCATGGTGGTCTTCCCCTGGAAATATCTTAACGTGTACGTTTTTGTTTTCGTAAAGGTTAGATCAAAGAAGCAATATCATTTAATTTCACATACAGGTATATTGAAGATGTTTTTTCCATTAACAATACAAACTTTTCTGATTGGATCTCAGTAATAGTCCTGAACAAGAGATTGCAGACACCACAGCTTCCTTTGCCTCAATTTTAGACATAAACCTCGAACTTGACTACAGCGGTCATCTCAATACCAAAGTCTATGACAAGCGGGATCATTCCAATTTTGAAATTATATATTTTCCTCACCCAAGCAGCAATTTACCAACTTCATCCGCGTTTTGAGTATACATTTCTCAACACAAACAATTTTCAGGAGCTTTCAGCTGCTACTCAGAATTTGTAAAACATCATCAGTGTCTGAGCTAAAAAAAAAGGGCCATGATTTGTGAAAGAACGTCTAGTCCTTTTCTCAAAAAGTTCACTGGAAAGTACCAGGACCTAATAGATAAATATTCAATGTGTACTTCACAAATAATACAGGATTGTCTTTCGAATAGATTCTAGGTGCCGATTCTGTGTAGAATATTATCTACTTCACAGTTTTACCTTTATTTGTCTATTATTACGTTCTATTTGGTCGTATGACTCTTGACGTGGCTCTGTATACGTGTATCCAGCTTTCAGGTTTTTGGCTTTTGGCGTTTCTTATGCGGGTGGGTCAAGAGATGCGATTTTGACATATTAGGTTTTTATTGTGTTGTTTTTGTTTTGTATACCCTTTTATTTATATTTAACTTATTTCGTTTTTAATATTGAAAGTTTATAGCTTTACTATACTGACTGCATTATCAAATACAAAAACGTTTTTTGTTGGTGTCTTTGGCTGATATATTTGTATGTGTGTTTGAACGTTTAATTCAGTTGTGGTGTGTCTGTGGTGTATGTTTACACAGTTTTGTCTGCTGGATCCCAGTTATATTCACGTTAACCAATTATGTCTGTTTGGATGGCTCACCAAATTTGGCAATGTTACGGAACATTCAACAACTGTCATACAAGTGGGCGTTTTAGCTAACTATAAAGAACTAAGTTTAAGCCACCATTAACTTAGGAAAATCCCTGTGCCATACGACAATTGTTTTCCTGCGGGTTTTTTAAACTACATTTTTATTTCCAAATGCTTCGAAAGAAAAACAAGGACCTTCGTTTTATATATCTGACTGTGTATAAAAACTAATCGATATCAGATGAAACAATCCTATCTTTTTGTGACACTTATGCAGGACGGACAGATTTGCTTATAGTGTTATAGGGCAACTGTTCGGTGTGGGATCATCAAATAATCAGATCCACTGGCATTGAACCAGTATAGCCATATTCACAAACAAAACTGAAGCAGAAACAGTCATGAAAATCCAAACTGTTGATATACCAATTACAAATATAAATTATCATGTTCTTAAAGAATGATTTAGTCGTTTTCGTGGATTTTTGCAATAACAAATAAGCGGCAACAGATATTTCACGATCCAAAATATTCCCATTTTTGCAAAGTTTCTGATTACTAAACAATATAACTTTAATAACCATTTTGAACAATATCATGCAACGATATTTTTAATAGAAAAGTATTTTATTCATTCAAAATATGAAAAAAATCATGTTTGCTAATTATATTTTTATTTCTTTTAAATTTCGATGAGCAATCTTCCTTTTGTTTTGTAACGGTGTTCTTTTAAACCATGAATTTTCTCGGATACTGATCATAATGTTGAACTATTTTGACAGACAGTTTTAATTTTCCAATATTTTCATTATAATTTACTAAATGAGATTATTTAATAACGTTGGATGTGTCTCCTCGATAAGATTTTCTTCACACGATCCTATACCAGATCTTTCACGATCCAATCACAACCACCGTTACTTATTCTTTCACGATCATTTATCTCGTCATACCGAATGATAGCCTTGTTGTACGCACGGAAACAATTTATATCTGTTTTTTTTTCATGTAGTAATTTTCTTTATTTGCAAAACAATGATGACCTTAGTCTAATTGTAGGCTTTGTTGCGAATTACATTACACATCATAAAAGTAACATTAACTATTGTTAGAGACTTTAACTTTTTAATTATTCGATTATCTTTGCGATGATATATCTTCTGAAGTGATGAACGGCTAGCAAGAGTAATTTTCAAGACTATTTTTTATTCGAAAAATAAAATGTAAAAGAGAGGCGATAGATACTAAAGGGATATTCAAATCAAATACAAAAGTCGAATACAAACTGACAAAACCATGACAAAAATGAAAAACGACAAAAAGACGAACAACAGTCCACAAAACGTTGTTACACGAAGAAATAAAAACTAGATGAACCAACAACAACACTTTCAGGAAAAGATTTACTTGTAGGATGGATGCGCATAATGATATACTGTCATGACAACTAAAATAATAGTCCGCGTATCAATGCAAAAATATATATATACATATTGGTCTGTGCTTTCCTTACAGCTAATATTAACGTTTAATTAAGTGAAAAATTATAAACAAAAATACCGAACTCCAAGGTAAATTTACAAAGGCGAATTCCTTGAAAACTGACAAAATCAAACATTAGACTCTATCAAAAATAGAACGAATGGCAAATTATGTTGTTGACATCCAATGATGTGAAAAGCATTTCAAATCGTTGTTTTATCTTAAAACGTTAGCAGAAACATTGTGACATAGATTCGAGTATTTGACAGTTAGGTCAGCTTCTGAAAATTGATTAAAATTGAATACATGTAAGACAAAATATAGGATTGAGACGGATGTAAAAATATGGATAACGTATAACTAAGACATAAAACTAAAGCTTTGGAAAGACAAAATTATAATGCATAAGCTGATTTTCGTGTGACAGATGTAGCATTGCCACGTTGTCTAAAGTCAGACATTGGTGAAGAGTGTTTGAAGCACTTACAGTTTCGATCATGTATTACACATTTTCACGAATTGTTGATGAGTGAATATGTGATTAACAAACATTTAACTTCTGTATGAATAAAGTTACATTGTTGACATGAATATTTTTTATAGGACGGTCAACAGTGAATTTGACATTATACCGACAAGAAATGTCATGGAAAAATGCTTCTAACTTCTGCTCACAACACAATGGAGTCCTTGAAAGTAATACAACGGTAGTGATAGACCAATTTGAGATAGAAGGAAATGGTATTCAAAATGTATGGTTTGGTAAATACGAGGCATATTCCCAATGGGCCTATATACGAGGTTTGTGGGGACAAATTTAGTTTCAGCATTTAAATGTATATCTTATGGGATATAGATATAAATAATGGAAAAGGGAAAGTATATGAATAAAAGGAAATGGGAAACTCACGTCAAAGAAACATCAAGAAACCAAAAGAAATTCAAATGGTCTGCAACTATATGTATTTCAATTTCTGAATCAATCCAAGTCTATAAATAGATAAAATTTAAAAAAAAAGACCACGAATGATCCGTCTTCAACATTCAGTTCCTAAAAACGCCAATAACGCAAGTCAAGATGTCTCACTCGTATTGCCAACTTCAGTATTCATTGTTTTGAAGCTGTTATTTTGGTGTTCATATATATTGCCAGTCCAACATTTGCTCAGTAGATGATACAAAACCGAAACCTTTTACATAATGTACAAATTTCGTCATGGTTTGTTGCTATGGCTTTGCAAATTAAAGATCATGTATAATTATGCATATATTAAGTGTTTAAATTACATTTGCACATTCGCACTGAATGTTGAGCCCTGTATGATCATATTGCTCCATTACTACACCAGTAGCCTGTTATTTAATGGTTGTCGTTGTTTGCTCCATATTTGATTTTCGTTTATTGTTTAAGCATAAATCATACTGTTGCTGTTCTTTGTTGAATTGTGTTATATTTGTCATTTCGTATACCTTTATAGCAAACTTTACTGTATGGGTAAAGGCCGTACATTGACCAACACTTGCTTAAATCCATGTAATTTGGGTATATATAAACATTTATGGATAGTTGTTGCAGTCATGTCAATCAAATCACATCGTGTTATTGTATATAGGTACTAAGTACCTGATGTTTATACAAAATATTGTTTTGTTTGTATATGTATATGTATCTTTTTTCTTTCAAATGAGCTTTATTTTTATTGTTTGTTCCTCTTTAATTTCATTAACTTCAGTTAATTTCTCTTTTTAATTTCATCTGCATTATTAACTTTACTTTTTCTGCAAAAAATGCCTTTGTTTTTTCTATTCAACTGTGATTAGTTAGGGTTTTAAGTGGTTTTTTTTTTTGTTTTTTTCTTCTTTTTTATTTTGTTCTTATGGGAGTAATTTATGTATAACTTTTTTTTTAGATTCAAAAGGAAAAGTTTTTGTAAAATGGTTAAGGTCTGCTCATATTGTGTCAGTTTAATTAATTCATTAACTCATCAATATTTAGAAAAAACATCACAAATGTTTGGATACAATGTTTCATAGTATTTAAAAGGAACCATCAAACTGAAAAATGTAATAATGTCAAGGAAGTAGTTTTGCGATATCAAATGAATTATGAAAATAAGAAGATGTGGTTTGATTGCCAATAAAACAACTCTCCGCCAGAGACCAAATGACATAGAAGTTAACAACAATAGGTCACTGCAAGGCCTTCAACAATGAGGAAACTCATAATGAGTTAAACGAATACCGCCTATTCAGCTATAAAAGGCCCCGAAATGACAAATGTAAGACTATTCAAACGAGAAAACTAATGGCCTGATTTATGTACAAAACAATGAACGAAAACCATGTATAATATACACCAACAAAAGGCAACCACTGAAAAACAGGCTCCGGACTTGGGATAGGCTCATTCATAATGTGGCGGAGTTAAAATACTTTAAAGTCGCCAACTCTCCCATATCATGGGACAGTGGTGTGACAGCACAACACGAGAACAATAAACGAAAAACAAATATGATGAACAGCAAAAACGACAACCACTCAATTACTCCTGACTTGGGACAGACTCGTGTAGAATGTGGCGGGGTTAAACTTATTTGTTGGCGCTAAACCCTCTCCCTAACCTAGGATAGTGATTTAACAGTACAACATAAGTACAAACTGCCAAAATCAGTTGAAAAAGGCTTAACTTATCAGATCGATACAATTGTTATTCAGAATATTGTACAGTTCTACACGTGCGACAACAAAAAGTGTCTTTGTCAACTGATATTCTTGTAATCTATATGCTTAACGGTTTTATGTTGATGAAATAAGTTCACTGCGGTACTTATTTGCAGGTTGTTTCTTTATCAATGGAAATGTCAAACACTTTGCTGTATGGCAGTTGGAGGAGCTCGACTGCCAAAAAATGTGCGAAAAATATAAATTTTATACAATTAAGGTAAGCATATTTTTAAAGAAATTCTTGGATAGCACTGATAGTAACTGTTTATTCTATTAAAATTATGTACAAATATAATTTCATTTTCATTTCCAACCTCTTCCCTCTAATCCCGATACAAATGGGATAGTCTTGTTACTTTCATATTTTGAGATACGAGGAAAGCTGTAATAATAATCATCAAGCTTCTTCAAATTGTTCATAGCATTTTACTAACTAAGCAAAACGATGTATTTACTTGCACAGCGTAACATGAATGAAATTTTTTATGGATAAGCGTGTCAATCAGACAGCAACGGCACAATAAAAAAAGAAAAAAACGCTAAAAGAGTGGACATGTTAGTTTAATTTAAAAAAAAAAAAACATTAACTGATGGAAAAAGTTTTCTGAGATATTATATTTTAAAATTCCGACGGGAGAAGGGCATATGACAATAGTATTTTGTTACAAATATTTTTAAGAATCGCCGAAGACATCATTGACAAGGCTTGGTAGCGCTCTCGAAGAACGCATACTTTATAATATACAGTTTAATTGTCTCAGATTTCAAAATTTAATAGTGGTCCTGACTGAAGGATAAAATTCTAAATATACTTAACAACACAAATAACGCAAAACATCTTAACACCTTAACATATATAGCTGGGCCCGTATGCATAAAGCTACTTAAGTAAAGATATCCAATCGTAATACTAATTTATCGTAGGACATGAAGAAAAATCCGTCCGTTCGGAACAAATCTTAACCTAAGTAGCTTTATGCATACGGGCCCATGTTCACAATTTCTTGTTTAGGGTAAACATTTGTAGAAATCCATTATATATTTTATGCATAACATTAAAAATAATGCAGAGTTTACAGAGAAATTTTCAACTTCCAATTGGTCATTAGAAAAGAATTCGACCAGTAAACTGAAAATTAAAGTCATTTTCGTTGTTTTCAAGTGAAAAGATACGCACGACTTTAGTAATAACAAATGTGTCAAGAATTCTATAATGGTTTTTGCTTCAAAAATGAAGATTAAGAAAATTCTCATTTTGAAAGAATTTGGTGTTTATGACTTCATAAAAGTTGGGTTAGAATGTTGACTCATATCAATAACTTAAAAAAAAAGTTAAATGCGATTGAACTTTTAATGTCATAGAAATTGATAGGGTTGGCGTGCTGCTTTTGTTGTTTAATACATTTTATTCCAAGGTTTATTCATTAAGTTCAATAAATCACTCTACGAATATAAACAAAATCAAATGTGGTATGTGATCAAACTGGTATATACATATGATTATACGAATTTTTTTGAAGGGAACCGATTGTTACTGCTTGCATGGTATATCGTCGTTTGAAAAAAGCAATCATTGTTATTGTACGGATTGTTTTAAAGTTTGGGAACGTGAGTATCATCTTGTATGTAATGTCGAAGCAAATAACATTTCGATTGATGATGTCTTTTGTTTAAAATCTCTGTTAGAAATAAGAAGTAAACAGATCGGTTTGCCTCAAAATGAAAATAGCCCTTATAAATAATCAACAATAGCATCTATTTAATGTAAAAAAGGAAATGGTTTATTTGAAATTTGTTTTTTGTAAGAAATCTTTATCGAAGGATAACGCAACATAATAAAAAGTATGAGGAAACAACTGTTTTATATTGGCGTGATGTTTTGGAAATTAAAAAAAATGTGTATTAAAATAAGGAAACTTGGAAGACTACATGTAGTTCACATTCCATTGTGGTAAAGTTCCGTGCCAACGTAATACGGTCTGCGAACAATTTAACAGTATACAAATAGTTGACATCATTTTTATAAAATGTATATATGAAGTGTTACACACGTTTGATTCAATAATTATATATAGCATTTCTAAGTTATAAAACAAATATCGATAAGATAAACATAAAATTGTATTTCAATTTACTTTCATTTGAAAGCTGGTATTGATATTTTAAACACATGTATGTAAAGCAACAAATTAATTAGATTGATTGATTACGATGCTGGTGGACAATGATGCTTCCCAGGAATCACAATTAAATCAAAGGCTGTTTTTTTTTTTGCCAACTATACTCAGTGTATTTGACGGAGAGTGCAGTCAACAGGACTCGTCACCAACTACAAAGAAGAACCTGACATTGACATGAACATAGAATTGGTGTCTCTATCATTCTATTTGACGACAGAGTGATAAAATTCTCCTATTAACATTAATATAGACAAAAGTATTCTGTTAACTTGTTTTACATTTTTATACGATGGATAGGGCGTTATATTCGTAACATCCAACTATTTAAATCCTAGGTCTAATTATGCAGGTAACAGCCTAAAGGGCTTTCGGACTATGGAAGTGTCAGAACTTTCGGGTGTTGGACTATTGAGGTGTCAGACCACTAGCTAGTCTGACAAATGTGGTGTCGGAACAATGTGTTTTAGGACAATTGAGACTGCCCAATGTTTTGAAACATACAATTTTGTTGTATAAAAAGAAAATATTTCAAAAAGTTAATTCAAAAAATTTGTTTGTTGATGAAAAAACGTATCTTGTCATAATGATTTATATAATTGACCTTAAGCTAAAAAACGGGCCTCGGTGTAGTAGAAATAACAAATAAGGCAAAGCCATAAACTGTATGAAATGACAACAATTTGGGTTACATGACTTTTATAGATGTAGATCTTTCGTTTTAATGCTTATGAGGGTTCCAAAATGTTTCTGTTAAGTTGCCACTGTCACGGTTATCTTTTTTACATAGGACCTCGGTCACTGATTAGTCGTAATAGTTCATCTACGGTAGTCGTTAATATAAACATAAGTAGATGTAGTATGCTTGCCAATGATACAACTATCCACCAAAGTTCAAATGAAGTGGATGTAAGCAATTATAGGCAACCGTACGGCCTTCACCAATCAGAAACCCCCATATCGTATAGTCGGTTATACAAGACCAAGACATGAAAAATTTGAACCAATTTAATAACGAAAACTAACGGTCTTTTTTTTATAACAAAACAATTTACGAAAACAACTATGACAGACAAGAACCAACTACAACCACTGAACTACAGGCTGTCAACACTGAGATTGCGAATTGGATTCCCCCTCGTGACAGTTGCGTTCCGATCTTTATTAACTAGGATTGCCAGTTTTCAAGCCGAAGGTCGGTGGTCTTCTTTGGATACCCTGGCTTCCTCCACAAAGGATAACTGTCCGCCATGATGTAGACAAAAGTGCTCAAACTGGCGTTAACACAATCAATCAATTTTTTGACCTACGTAATTTGATATTTATCAAAAAAGGAACAGGGATTAATGATAATGAATAATCATATATATTAGTATAAAAAATACAAAATGACTATTTAAATCATAGTAATATCTGTCTCTACGAAGATTTTAAATATCATAAAGGCATCCACTTTTTGTTTTTGTTTTTTTGTTGTTTTTTTTAAGCTTTCCAATTGTATCTGTTGAATGCCTGTTACAAAGAATCAAAGAGCTATAGCAGTAAATCATTATTGTTATGGAGTAAGGTGCCTGCTTTAAATGCCATTAGGTCATGTAGTTTCAGAGGAGTTGTTCTATTAAGGAAACATTTTCTAAACCAATTGTGAAGGTATTTCCTCCCTTCCAACAAAAGATTGATTGATTGTGTAACGTCCGGTGACACATATCTAAGCACACTTAGTTAACGGAGAAACACATCGTGTAAAGTAAGTATCAAGACTAAACATCCAGTGTCATTTACAATTTATTTCTAGAATATTTATTTCGGACACAGTGAAATAAAACAGGTATATATATCAAAAAAAAATTACAGCTGCAAACAAGAACATGGTCTCCCTTTAAAAAAAAATTCATGCAAGTGTTTTCTTTTTATTCGTTTTCAGTATTTGATATTTTCTAAATCTATGAAAGTATCTGAAAAATAAAAGCATTAATACTTCTTTTTCATATGTTATTCCTTTTTGTAGCTCCTCCTTAGATTAGTTTTCGTTAATTTGTTTAGTCTGCAATTTGTTGTTTATAGGTAAATTGGTTATTGAGGTTACATTTTGTTTCGTTTTCTCCTTATTTTTTACGCGTTCAAGAAGGAAGAATTAGAAAGTGCAATTACAACTTCTGATACCGCATTTGAAGCACTGCTGGTCTAAGCTCCTCTCATGCTTTGCTTTATCTATTACAAACAGTGAACAGGGGAATGTGAAAATGTAATCACATAAAAGTATCCTGTTAATGCACACCTCTTCAGATAGCATCAGTAACTAATTCGAAGTTAAAGCAAAAATTACCATTCAGGTTTCAAATTATACTTAATAGATCAACTGCAAGAATTTGATACAGGAGAGTATGACAACCCACCTGAATGTATTGCGGTAACTAATTGTCTCTTTGGTACTCTCCGTCGACGTTATGATCCATGTGAACTCAACCATAATGTAACGTGTGGTAAGAATTTACGAGATTGGCAAAATTTATAAACTACCAAGTCAACAACAAACAAAATCCCAAAATGTACAGGGACAGCACAAACGCATATAGCAACATTTGCTTATAAAAATAAGAAGATGTGGTATGATTGCCAATGAGACAACTCTCCACAAGACACCAAATGACACAGAAATTAACTAGGTAATGCAAGATGAGTTCAATTTTTAATACACATATTTTAGTTTAAAGACTGGTCAGTTTACTTAAACGAATAGTTTACTAATAGTTCGTATAGTTAATATAAAGTAAATTTGACATTCTTCAAAACCGATTTCACCAGATCTTGACTCTCTATTTTCTTTCATGTATGCTCATTGACGTTTAATTCGGTTAGGGTTCAAAAGAATTATGTGTCCGCGAACCTGATGAACATTCTTCCAGAAATACGTACGGTTCGTAAGGAAACAGGTATCATACATTAGATTGTTTAATTTCTATAAGTATAGATTATACAGGATTATTATTAATTTTTAGATTATATAATAACCCAAAAACCCTGCTGATCAACGAAATGATAAATGAACACAGACATGATACATTTAAAAAAAAAAAGCAAAGGCGAACAACTTTCTGTATTTGTGCATGCTATATTTTCTGTAAGTAGATTAACGATTAACACTTGCTTAAAGAAACAAGACAGACTGTCGATGGCAATTGAACCCTTTAATTATGATTTAGATAACAACTTTAACCTTGGATTTTCATCAGACAATCACCACGACGCATCTATAAAATGCGAAAGACAAGGTTCCTTCATAAAGTGGTTTCCAGAGAATTTTTGTACTTCTGATAGATTAAATCATCCCTTTTGGACAAGTGAAAGACGTCAGAAACATATTTCTATCAACGAAAATCTTGTAAGTGTTTCCTTTAGCAAAATTCAAACTTAATTTATTTGTTGATTGTTTATCTTTTTTGGTTACTTTTTTTGTTTCCTATGATTATTTGATCGTGTTTATAATTCTAATTAAAGAAAATGTATAGTATGGTAATTGCAGTGTAGTGAATATTAGATATAATGTCACTGTCACCTTTTGTGAATGTTAAATAAAAATTAACACTGAATGGACATCTTCCCATTTTATACGTGCGTGTGCCAAAGTCGTACACGAACTATTTTGATCACCTACACTTCTATTTCGTTGAAGTTTTCTAGGATAATGAGCAAGATTGTTGCTCATACATCTGTAACTACGTTTTAAAAGACAACGTGTCAAAACAAACATTTAAACCCGCTGCATTTGTTTGCACCTGTCTTAAGTCAGGAACCTGTTTTTCAGTGGTTGGCGTTTTTTTATGTGGTTCTTAAGTGTTTCTCGTTTCTTGTTTTTTATATAGATTAGACCATTGGTTTTCCTGTTTGAATTGTTTTACACTAGTCATTTTGGGGCCCTGTATAGCTTGCTGTTCGGTGTGAGCCAAGGCTACTTGATGAAGGCCGCACTTTGACTTATAAATGTTTACTTTTTACACATAGTGACTTTGATTGAGAGTTGTCTCATTGGCACTCAAACCACATCTTCTTATTTCTATTTAAATAATCAGTAAACTAAAATATCAATGATATTTTACAGATGACATAGATAATGTTCAACTTATTAAGTGTTACAAAATACATCGTGATGGTGATCAATTAAAAGAGGAAAATGAAGATGTCGAACACTGTGATGACAATTATCCGTTTGTATGCAGGTTTGGTAAGTTATGTTATTAATTATCGAAAAGTTGCTATTGAGAGAGAGAGAGCAGAATTGTTAATTTGTTCTCGTCCTGAACATGCATGAAATATTTGCAACTGGACTTTAAGCAAACTACAATCAATCAATTTATAAGTATCAATATTCCAGCAGCGCTTGAATATGGTGTATACAAATATATATGTGGCGCTGGAAACGGTGCAGGCGGTGTTGACACGATGTCACAGAAGCAAGAATTCGAATCCCGCTGAGGGAAGAACAAAAAATTGCTGACGCAAATTTGAAGATCTGTCATTGTTTGGCTAACTATGAGACGAGTTGTATATATATATATAGTATAGTGTTAGCCCTGTATAACCACGTGTTATTCGATAGAAAATGTCTGTCATAAAGTTGTCACATGTTTAGACGTGTATATAAAATTTGTCAGCATAAAAATCTAACTCTAACACTGTTGGGTTCAATTTTCAGACTTATATAAATATTTGTATTTACCCTGTGTCTCAAAAACACTGAAATCCAGTGGGCATATATATTGTATGGTTGTCACTTGCTTAGACTTGTTTGTATGATATACTTATTTCTAGTGACTGTATAATAAATTGAATCATTATCCTCATTATCCCATATGGTATATAAAAAATGTTGAGTAAGATTGCTGACAAATAAAGATACATTGTGTATCAAAGAATAATATAAAATCTACACACGCTTAAAACACATGTCTTATGTCACCTTACGTGACAAGGTTCCACTACGACTATTGAAGTTATATTTAGCCTAGAGCGCTGGACAGGAGGCTGAGCGATTGGTACTGTAGTGAATCAAAGGTGTGAGTTCGAATCCCGTTGATGGACAAAAATTTGTCAGCATAAAAAATCTAATTCTAACACTGTTGAGTTCAATTTTCAAATATATATATATATATATGTTTTTGCACCTCATGTTTGCGGTATACCATCTTTTCCGCAAGTTTTTTTGTTTTCTATTTGGTATTATATTAAAATTAAGATCCATTTTGTTACATCTGTGATCCGTTTATTTGGCAATCGCAGTCAGCAGGGTTTAAAAACATCCGTTGTTCGATCTGTTAGTCAAATGCGTTTTGTTAAAATATACTTATATATATATATATATATATAACAAAGTTTAAATTGAAATCAACGTTCAAACCTTTGATTGCGTTGGATAGAGGGGTCTAAATACAGCACAAACAACATTTTCCAAAAGACCAAACAAGTGAAAAAGTCTATTTTAACAAAACGCATTTGACTAACAGATCGAACAACGGATGTTCTTAAACCCTGCTGACTGCCAATGGCGATTGCCAAATAAATTGATCACAAGATGTAACAAAATGGATCTAAAAACTGCAATGTTTATACGTGTGCATTCAAAATAAATTTCTTGTTAGAGGGGTCTAAATACAGCACACACAACATTTTCCAAAAGACCAAACAAGTGAAAAAGTATATTTTAACAAAACGCATTTGACTAACAGGTCGTACAATCAATGTTCTTAAACCTTGCTGACTGCCATTATCGATTGCCAAATAAACGGATCACCGATGTAATAAATGGATCTTAATTATAAATTTAATACTAAACAGAAAACAATAAACAATAAACTAGCGGAAAAGATGGTATACCGCAAACAAAAGGTGCAAAGGTTTTTGTACACTATATCCGGATTTCGACAATTAATGTTTCTTCAGTGATGTAAGAAATCGAAACGGTATTTGAAAAGCCATACAATTCACCTCAATTTAGGATAGACTCTTTAATTTTGAGGAGTCAAAATAGGATGAACAATTCATATAAACCCGAAGGCAAATATAATAGAAGCCCAAACGAAAAAATATAAACAAGTCTAAATTGAAAACAACGTTCAAACCTATGATTGCGTTGGATAATACCCGCAATTTTCATACGTGTGCATGCAAAACAAATTTCTTGTTAGAGGGGTCTTAATACAGCACAAACAACATTTTCCAAAAGACCAAAAAAGTGATAAAGTATATTTTAACAAAACGCATTTGACTAACAGGTCGAACAACAAATGTTCTTAAACCCTGCTGATTGCCATTTCCGATTGCAAAATAAACGGATCACCGATGTAATAAATGGATCTTAATTATAAATTTAATACTAAACAGAAAACAATAAACAATAAACTAGCGGAAAAGATGGTATACCGCAAACAAAAGGTGCAAAGGTTTTTGTACACTATATCCGGATTTCGACAGTTAATGTTTCTTCAGTGATGTAAGAAATCGAAACGGTATTTGAAAAGCCATACAATTCACCTCAATTTAGGATAGACTCTTTAATTTTGAGGAGTCAAAATAGGATGAACAATTCATATAAACCCGAAGGCAAATATAAAAGAAGCCCAAACGAAAAAATATAAACACGTCTAAGTTGAAAACAACGTTCAAACCTATGATTGCGTTGGATAATAACCACAATTTCATACGTGTGCATGCAAAACAAATTTCTTGTTAGAGGGGTCTAAATACAGCACAAACAACATTTTCCAAAAGACCAAAAAAGTGATAAAGTATATTTTAACAAAACGCATTTGACTAACAGGTCGAACAACAAATGTTCTTAAACCCTGCTGATTGCCATTTGCGATTGCAAAATAAACGGATTACCGATGTAATAAATGGATCTTAATTATAAATTTAATACCAAACAGAAAACAATAAACAATAAACTAGCGGAAAAGATGGTATACCGCAAACAAAAGGTGCAAAGGTTTTTGAACACCATATCCGGATTTCGATAATTAATGTCTCTTCAGTGATGTAAGAAATCGAAACGGTATTTGGAAAGCCATACATATTACCTCAATTTAGGATAGACTCTTTAATTTTGAGGAGTCAAAATAGGATGAACGGATAATATAAACCCGAAGGCAAATATAATACAAGCCCAAACGAAAAAATATAAACAAGTCTAAATTGAAAACAACGTTCAAACCTATGATTGCGTTGGATAATACCCGCAATTTTCATACGTGTGCATGCAAAACAAATTTCTTGTTAGAGGGGTCTTAATACAGCACAAACAACATTTTCCAAAAGACCAAAAAAGTGATAAAGTATATTTTAACAAAACGCATTTGACTAACAGGTCGAACAACAAATGTTCTTAAACCCTGCTGATTGCCATTTCCGATTGCAAAATAAACGGATCACCGATGTAATAAATGGATCTTAATTATAAATTTAATACTAAACAGAAAACAAGAAACTAGCGGAAAAGATGGTGTATCGCAAACAAAAGGTGCAAAGGTTTTTGTACACCATATCCAGATTTCGACAATTAATGTCTCTTCAGTGATGTTAGGAATCGACACGGTATTTGGAAAGCCATACAACTTACCTCAATTTAGGATAGACTCTTTAATTTTGAGGAGTCAAAATAGGATGAACGGATCATATAAACCCGAAGGCAAATATAATACAAGCCCAAACGAAAAAATATAAACAAGTCTAAATTGAAAACAACGTTCAAACCTATGATTGCGTTGGATAAAAACCGCAATTTTTATACATGTGCATGCAAAACATATTTCTTTTTAGAGGGGTCTAAATACAGCACAATATATCTAGTCTAAAGATTTGCACAACAGTACTTATATAAGATGGTAATATACAAAGGTGATGTTATAAAATCGTGTTGACAAATATTTCGGCTTAACAAATAGCCTTCGTCAGTGTGAATAATTTTAACAATACTAATTGTATGTGTAAAAATAGCTCAATAATACAGATAAGTTTTGGTCTATTGATTTAATCCCAAATCTTGAACATCATAATATAAAACAAAACTTGATACTCCATAGACTTGACTGTGTATATGTACATCCAAAAATGAGTGTAAAATAAGACTGCTAGTATTTCTTATTGATGCCGTTGGGATGATGTACATTTATTTCTTTAGCCAGAAGCCTTCCCAAACCTGTCGCTGGGCATCACTTCAGTGAATGATCTGTTCAATCACTAGGATTTTCATGCGGTTAAAGTCATCAAGTTTATGACCCGACTGTCTGGAATGCTAACAAACCGAAGAATTGGCTTCTTAGAGATATCACTCCTATGTTTGTGGAAAGGCTGCTTTGACTCACCAACATATTGGAGGCAACAAACCGAACATTCTAGAATGTAAATAACATTCATACTTTTGCAGGTTACATTGCAAAATATCCTATAGTTATTTTCGGTTGCCTTACTGTGAAAAGTTGATGAGTGATGCATCTGTAGGCAGCAGTTGCAGCGTTTTTCATCACACGAACGACATTCTCCAGAAGTACTTCTCTGATCAGACACTTCAGCCCGCACCAGCAGGTTCCGCAGATTGGGTTGCCTAAAAGCTATTATGGGGGCTCGGGAAAAATTTTGGATAATTTGGAATTCTTTTCAACTGTTTTTCAATGCTCACGAATGACACCGAAGCTGTTTTTGAGAGATGGATGGTAAGTAAGAACGCATGGAGTCTTTTTTTTTTTTTTATCTTTGTATTCTAACAGTTTACTCCTTGGAATAGTTTCCGCTTTCTGAAAACTTTTTGAATAGTTCTGTGTTTAAAGTCCTTCTCTTCAAGCGGGTTTCGAGTTGACTCATTCGTTTTTTTAGTTATTTCTGAGTTGGAACATATTCGCTGGACTCTGAGTGTCTGACTGTACGGGATGCTCTTTGTACAATGATCAGGATGGCAACATTTATGGGACAGGTATTGGTGAGTATCAGTAGACATAAAATATAGGTCTGTGGATATAATGCTATCTGTAAGAGAGCTGGAAGTATCGAGGAAGGTGATTTTGGATTTAGATCTCTCATGAGTAAATTTGATACTTTGATGTATGTTGTTGGAATGAGTGATGAACGTATCTAAATCCTCGTCACTTTTATTCCATTTCATATCCACATCATCTATAAATCTATACCAGAAAAGCGGTTTTTTGATTGAAGAATCAAGGAGTTGTTTTTCTGATTTGCCCATAAATATGTTGGCGTATGATGGAGCCATTTTGGTACCCATAGCAGTTCCATTAACTTGTAGATAATGATCTCCATCAAAGGTGAAGTTGTTGTTCTTTAGTACCAGCGTGAGCATTTTGGCCAGGCATTCAGTAGGTGGATATTTTACTGGTCGGGAACCCCAAACTTCTCTACATGCATCAATGCCATCTGCATGTGGAATATTCGTATAGAGGGAGGTGACGTCCATAGAGACAAGTGTCGTGATGGAGGGAAGTGGATTTAAGGCCTGCATTTTTCTTAGATAATCGGTTGTGTCTTTGGTGTGAGATGGTAAGTCTTCAACATGTTGACGAAGATGGAAGTCAACGAATTCCGAGATTTTTTCCGACGGATGACCGTTCGCTGAAATAATTGGTCTTCCTGGGTTATTGCCCTTATGAATGTTTGGTAAAAGATAAAATCTGCCCGGTTTTGGGTTTCATTTTCAGACTTATATAGATACATGTATAGAATAGGCAGATATTTCATATTTTGATTGCATTTACTCTCTGTTTTGTTTGTTTTAAATTGAGATAAAAGCAGCATAATAAAATTTAAAAAATCATTTTCCGTTAAAACGATTACTGTGCCTTCAAATCACAGTTTCAAATTTATCCGAATATTCAAAACTAAAACCCATGATCTTTAAAGTTGTTTTCGAAATTTTTCGACACGAATGCGTTCTTTTTTAATTGTATCTAGCTGGTCTATTTTACGGGGAGATTAAAAGAAAGAACTGGCAACTTTTACCTTTCATTACGTTTTGTTTCATTGATAAAAGATATCATCAATTTATTCCGTGTTTAATTCGAAAGACAATTAAATTACTGTTTACAAGTGTATCAAAAAAAAAGGATATGCCTGTTTTGAGATAATTTGTTGTAACAAGTTTTGGAAATACAGGATATAATATTCAAACCAAATATGTTTAACTTCAGGGTTTTCTTCTTGTATTTATAAACAATTTGTCTTCTGCCTTAATGACATAATACAACTAGGAGAATGTACAACAGTTTCAATTATAATTTGATCCAATATAAAAGTGCAAGATTCAATTAAAATGACCAGTCAGTACTGAGAGTTTTTATCCCAGTATAAAGTGTTTAGGTTACGGTTTTTTGTTAGGTAGGAAATGGCCGGTTTTTTTTAAAGATCATGTCTTGTAATTTCAACCTAACAATAAATTAATATAGAGCAATACCAATTTTGGGCCTAAAAAGTCACCAAAGATTTGACCATATGAAGTAATTTCGCCTTTTTAAACGTTGATTTGTTTACATACATACTGCAAAAAAGTTGTAATGTGATAAATAGTTTTTAAGTGTACCGTGGTAAAACAAACATCGAATTGCCTCGCCAAATTTTATTGCACACTAGGGCTGTCTTTCTTTTGCATATTGCAACGCACAGGATACATTTTGTTATATTTTATCTCAAAAGACCTAAAAAGTTTGAATTATGTTCGTTAATGTTACGATTTAAAACTTTAAAAAATCCACAGCCTGAACCTGGTTTCATTTTCATCGACCAAACTGCTGGAAGAACACAAAGGTTAAGAAGAAGAATATTTGAACTGCTTATGCATTCTTCCTATTACTGTGTGCTTGTTGTTGTTTAGATACAATTAATTTCATTAGTATAAAGTATTCGTTAGAATAGATATGTTACAGTTGAAATTGGGATAAGGTCAAATTTTCAAAATCTTTGAATACTCTGCGATCGTTATTTTTTTTTTGTCTGTTTGTTATTTTTGTTTGTGCTACAAAATGTAGGACCGATCTGATAAGAACAACCACTTCTAACAGATTTTTGCAATTTGGTCTCATGTAGTGGTATAACACCATTGTCCTTCATCAAGAGACAATATATTCCTCACAAGCATGTTAAACTCTTTCATATCCTATGTGTGCCTACCCTAAGCCAAGAACCTGTTATCTAGTCGTTGTTGTTGGTTGATGTCGATGTTGTTTTTTGGAATTGTTTATTTTTTTTACAATTTTAAAAATCTGTTAATTTTTTTAAATTCCGTTAATTCAGTTTAAACAAGTTAACAAGTTGCGAATTTAGAATGTGTGACGCAGATATCAAGCGATAGTGGCATGGACCCCCTCTGTCATCTATCTTTAGGTGTTCAATTTGTTTTTTAGTAAACTTTCTTCAATACTTTATCCTATTTCAAACTTTTTAATATGTCCCTCTTCTTGTCCATGTAAATTTACAATACCAGTAGTTAAAATGCTGTTGATGTAGTTGGAGCACATATAATCAACTATTTTCAAATCCTGGACAGAGGAGAAAAACCAATTAAATAAGTGAGAAAATTAGATATATAAAATTCTTTCCTGAAGATCTTATGTCCATAAAATTGTGTAATTCACTGTTTGTTTGGACCTAATAAGTTTTGAAGAAAGCTATACCTGGACTAGAACATAAAACTTGGCTGATGCAAAAATAGCCTGTCCCTAAAATCCTTATTCAATGATTCAGAGACATTAACAGTAATACATACATTTATCCGAAGTCATACACATTTTATGTCATATGTTGAAATGTGTCTGCTATCTGATGTACCAGATTTTAATCAAACTGAACTATGATTAAATTTTACGATCACAGTTGCGCTACCCTATGTAACGGTATATGGACCTCGTCTTTTTTATGTAACTACTCTAAAAGTAACCACAATAAGGCCTCGTTAGTGTCTTATATTGCAAGGAGATGGTTTATTTATGGCAATATATCTGGCATTAATATATTGCTTTTTTGAGATACCGTTCTGTCTTATAAATTTAGCCTATTGTCCTCAAACAGTATAAGTAGAAATGTAAAAATGTTCATCCAATTTTTTTCCTTATGTGACCCCCCCCCCCCCTTTTCCAAATTAACTCACATCTTAATTTAAAGTAGCAGGTGCACAATTGTATATCCTGCAGAAAAATCTGTTAAATTTTGTTAAAATTCTGTTAATTCAGTTTAAACAAGTTAACAAGTTGCGAATTTACAATGTGTGACGCACACATCAAGCGATAATGGCTTGGACCCCCTCTGTCATCTATATTTAGGTGTTCAATTTGTTTGTCCCCCTTCTTGTCCATGTAAATTTACAATGACATAAGTAAAAAGCTGTTCATGTATTTGGTAGCACGTATAATCAACTATTTTTTAATCCTAGACGGAGGAAAAAACCCATTAAATAAGTGAGAAAATTAGATATATAAAAATTTCCTGAAGATCTGTTGTATGTACATAAAAAGAAAAGACATGGTTTTAAAAGGGTTTACTTGACTTGACGCAGGCTATGATAGAAATGATCTCTGTGTGTCGTTACAGAGTCGATGTCAGGCGACACAATACATTTTTGTATTCATATGCGAATTAAGAATTTGTAGTTGGCAAAACTCGTTTTTGTGAAAAAGTTGGACGATTTTGTAACAAATTAGGCGACACAAAAATACTTATATGACTTAGTAACAATAATTTTTTCTTGAAATTTAGATCCATATTAAATATACAGTCGATCATAAACTAATAAGGCTTTGTATAGATGTAATGTCGTACTGGGCATGGACTGTAGGTCCTGATATTCCTGCTTCCATTTCTTTAGACTGGCATGTAAAAAAAGTCTTTCGTTATCGTTTTGTGGATTTGGAAATAAAGAATAACAAATTAAAAATTAAGATGATTGTGTTCGTACAAAGTGATTTTTAAGTACACAGTTTTAGGTTCACTCTGTTGGTTGATGCTAAATCATGGCATCAGTATATGTTTATTCTCTGTTTAATTTTAATAGATTCACGTATTGCATTTCTTCTCTAAGAGATTTGTTTATCTGTTTTACTTATATTATAAAGTAAACATTGTTCTTTTTATAAGTCGCCCTTGAGTTTACGTCTCCCTTTATCTTTTACGTTTTAATTGACCAAAATGTAAATGGGTAGTGTTAAGAACAAAGAAAATTAGTTTAATTCTTATGCAATGTAGATTTTTATTAGTTTTCTTTCTTTCCATCGACATTCATAACCGCTTAAATGATTTATATCAAAGAGCTCTGAAAGCATGTTGAAGCTAACAGGCGTTTTTGGTAATTCCATGCCAAAACCTTTGTACAAATCTTCCAATTTTTTATCGGACAATTAATTCTATTTTACTTTATGGTTCCGAAATTTGGAGTATTTTTCATTTTAAATCACAAAAAAAATAATTCGTATGAACTAGAGCAAAAGTTTACGAAATATCCTTGCGAAAATGTATACCTGAAATTTGTATGTATGAGTTCATAGAAATCATCTTAATTAACACTTCACGGGAAATTTGGTCGTAATCCACTACAAATGACATGAACATGATGAACGAGTGTCATGTGTTAATTCAAATTCTAACAGATAACATTTATATGCACCAGAATGGAATGAACACATGGTGTTCTTCTATTCTTTTATAATTGCAAAACAGTCATTAATAATCTCAATGTTAATAAGATTAAAGATGTTTCAGTCAAAAAGGTATATGCAATTTTGAAAAGATAATCTTCTACGGAATGCTATAATAGTAAAACAGGTTAAATTGCGAACTTATTTTAAATTGTTAAGATATTTAAAAATCGAGACTTTTCTAAATGTTGTGTAGAATTTTGAAACTAGAAAGCACCTCACACAAATGAGAATGAGAGTAAATTAGCTTTTGAGCAGGGCTGTTATATAAAGATTGACAAAGATAAGATAATTTTCTTTTTTTTTTTTTTTTGAATCAATTGAAGATGTAACTAATTCCCTGATGGAATATGCATTAGATCAACAACAAATTATGCTAGATTCTACTTAAATAATATTTAATAATTTCAAAAATATAGATACAGAAAATCGATTTATTTTGAATTCTTCTTTTGTGTGAACATGAAGATTTTTGCAACACTGTGGCTATCATAAGCATTATAATTTATTTTT